CAGAGAAATAAATAACATAATAATAAAAGAATATAAATAATATAAAAAGAATAAAAATAAATATGATTCATCAAATAATCCATTTCATTAATATTTCATACAAAATAAAAATGATTATAAAATATAAACATAAATATTTACATATTCTGTATTTATCATATTTTTTATTTTTTTATTTTTTTTTTATGAGCAAAATATAATAAATGGAAAATTCTAATTATGCAAATTTTTTTGCATCTTTTTTCTTTTTTGTAAATTATTTAGATGCATTTTTTCTTTGCTAATTTTCGTGCCATAAAAATACTTGTAATAAATCAACAAAATTCAAAGCATTAAACAATAATCTTTCAAATGAAATTAAGAAACAAATCAAAATATACAATCAAAATGTATTTGATAGTTAAATGAAATAATAAACAATAATAAAGGATAATTTCATTGTGAAGAAATAGAAATCAATTCAAAAATAAGAATAAAATGGAATAATAAATACACAGAGAAACAGACAACACTTTACAACAAATAATAAAATAACAATAGAATAAGACATAAAGACAAAGAACAATAAACAATATAAAGTTATAATGACTTAAACAAAGGAATTGATAAAATGAATAAAACAATAATTTTAATAACATCTTTTCAATATGATAAAATAATTATTTCAAATAACTCAAAATAACATAAAACATATAATTTGAATAATTTAATGGATTGAATATTTCTCCAAAACAACGTCAATTAAAATAAATGAATATGATTAATTGTTAAATAGCAAATAATGAGAAGTTTAAGAATTAAGTTAGATGAGTTTAATTGAAGAAAATTTTTTAACAAAGAAAGGAAAGAACTACCCAAAACAATTTTCTGAAAAGAATAAACAAACAAGAATGTAGAAAAAAATGCACTTGAAAGAAGTTGAAAAGAAAAAAAGAGGTGAAAATTTTTAATAAAAGAGAAAGAAATTAAATTATTCTTTCAAATAAGTATAACAACTACCAAAGAAAATGATAATAAATGAATAAAACTCATGAAGAATAACGGCTAGAGATAATAAAAATAGAGAATGTAAGAAGAAGGAATAATAGTATTTAAATGAAATAGATAAATGAGAGACACAACTAATGAACATATTTATTTTGTTGTTATTTAGTCTTGTAATGTCTGAGTCAATAATCATTACTAACTCAAAAAGTCCTGATGGACAATCAATAACTTTTCAAGTTATTGAATTTGGTAAGTGTTATTATACAGGAGCATCAACTTCTGAATATTATATTCAGAGTGGGAATAATGTTACAGTTTCACAATATAATACATCATCAGAATGTACTGGAACAAAAAATGAAACTTCTGTTGCTGTTAGTGAAGAAAATTTTAAAGATTTTTGTCTTTCAAGAGGTTGTACTGTTGAACTTAAAGAAATCCCAGACTATATTGGATACTTTGGTTTAGATGAAGATGATAATAAATGTTCTCATCAAAATAACGCTTATATGACTTATGTAACAGGAATCTGTGGTAAGTGTGATGAAGTTAGTAATGAATATTGTAGGTATAAAATAGAAAACGGTTCTATGTATGGAGTCATTTATACTAACAGTCAATGTGATGAACAAGTGAAAAATAAAACAAAAGAATTATGGAAATGTGGTTCTTGTAGAAATAGTACTATTTATAAATGTGAAAGTAAACCAAATAAAAATTCATCGGATTATATAGATGGAGCATCATTAACTATTCTTTCTCTTATTGGAATGATGATTATGTTATTTATTTAACTGACAATGGGTTTTATTAAAAATTAGAATATTTTATGTTTAAATTTAAATGATTAATATTTTTTATTGTTCGTTTAGATTAAATTGTGTTTTTATTCTAGTTAGAATATAAATAACAAGAGATAATAAATACTAAATGTTTAAATATATTGTATAATTCATTTTATTTTTATAGAAAAAGAAAAACACAAGGAAGAAGAAATTAAAAGGATTTTTCTAATGTTAAATTTATTGATATTTCTTTTATTATTGTTATAAATTTCATGATAATCAATAATAAAATATAATTGTTGTAATTGAATTTTGTAATAAATTATATTATATTTTTGAACTAAACATGATACTAAAGTTTAGTATATGAAAAAAATGAATTAAGATAATAAAAAGAAAAATTATTTGATAAATGAACAATTTTAATGTTAATTAATGATATTATTTATTGTTATTACTTTGTTTTGTTTTATGGGTTGAATAAAATAAATTTGTAAATAAAAGATTCATAAAAATAATCAAGTAATTATTAACACTTAATAACTTTTGAAAATCAATAAATGGTAAATATAAATTTCAATATATCGTTATGATAATTGTTATATATTGATTGATAGTTATGAATATATTCTTAATATAACAATAATTTGAATTGAAATTATTATTCATTTTATTTTATTATTGTTGTTTATGATTCAATTTGTTGAATACATTACAAAAATGAATTGAATTTTAATTTAATATTTCATTTCATTCTATTTGGTATGGAATTTCAAAATACAAAAATACAACAATATGATGAAATGATGAAATGAAAAATGAAATAATTGAGTCATTATAAAATAAAATGAATGTAAATTGCAATAATAGAAAAAGAAAAGAGTATATTTAAAGAGAAGAACTTACATACATTTCATTCAATGTTTATATTTCTATTGATTATTGTAATTACTAATGCAACAGAAAGTATTAACAATAAAGAATTAATACACAAACAAATAAAATCAAAACAACACAAAAGAATGCACAATCTGTATAAAGCAGAATTAAAAAGTGAAGTTGAAGTAACAACACCAACAGCAACTGAAGAAAAAGGAATTGAAACAATTGTTGATAAAAAAGTTACAACAGAACCAATAAAACAAGAAGAGACATTTGGTGGACAGACTATTCCTAAAGAAAAACCAACTACTCAAGAAACTGAAAGAGTCAAAGAATCAAAAGAAACATCAACAGTAAATGGAGCAAGTGAAACAGCTGGAGATAATCAGAAAAAAGAAGATGTGAAAGAATCAGAAAAACAATCAACAGGAGAAAATGGCAAAGGAAGTAAGGAGGAACACCAAGACACTGAACGTCCAAGTGGACAAGAGGCTGACACAACACACAATGAACAAAACAAACAGAAAGTTGATGAAAACCATGAAAATCAGAATGGAAATGAGAAGAACCAAGAAAAGAATCAAGAAAATCCGAGTGAGAAAGAAGGAAAAGCAGAACACATTAAAGATGAAAAGAACGACAACCCACAAGATGATAAAGGAAAAGAACAAAGTCAAGAAAGTGATGCAAGTGAAAAGAAAAAAGGAGGTGAGACTAAAGATAATGAAAGTGATAATGAAAATAGCCAGAAAAACAAAGATAAAAATGAAGAAAAGAAAAATGAAGAAGAAACAAGTAATCAAGGACAAGAAAAGAAGAATAATGAACAAGAAAAAGAAAACAAAGATAGTAATAATCAACAAAAATCACAACAACAAGACAAAAACACTGAAGAAAAGAATAATGAACAAAAAGATGAAAGTAAAGATAATAACAAACAAAACAAACCAGAAGACGGAAAGAATAATGAACAAAAAGATGAAAGTAAAGAATCAGAAAATAAAACAACAGATAGCTCAGAAAGTGAATCAGATGATGATATTAATAATCACAAAAATATTGATGGTACATCATGTATATTTGTCATTCTTTCGATTATTATCACATTCACATTCTTTTAATTGAATATATTGTTTTATTTCTTATTTTTATTACATTAGTGTCACACTTTAATATTAATAACACATTTATATTTTATATTTTATATTATTAATGATTTATATGTTTATTTATTTGAATTGTTATAATAATTTAATTTATAATTAATATTTATTTTATTATTTCATTTAATTATCATTATTAATGATTAATTAAGCATTATTGAATAATGTCAGTATTTATTCATTATTATTTCATTTATCATTGTTATTCAATAAAGAATAATACATGTATGAATAAGAATGTAAATATTTACGTGAGTATAGTGTTAAAAACATAATAAGTGTGTATTGTTATACAATAAAGAAATAATAAAATGTTGAATTTTTTAAATAATGGATGGGTTGGGGAAATTCTTATCTGTGCTTCAAATTATTAATAATAAGATTCAAAAAGATGAGCAAAAAGATTTTGAAAATCAATATGAAACTCCAGAACAACAAACAACCAATATCAATATTAAATTGAATCAAATTGAATTGACATGTTATGATGGAGAGAATAAATTTGAAATGAAAGTTTTAGTAACAGAAAATGAAAAACAACCATTCATTAACATCATACAAGCTCAACAAACAACAATCTCAGTTAAAGCAGAGAGGTTAGAAATGGAAATAGGAACAAAGAAAAGTATAATTCAAGACATTGATATTACTATCAAAGAAGGAATAAAGAAAGAACCAAGTATTGGAATAATGCAACCATTATTTAGAAATGGAAATGATTCAACGATGTTTCATGATAATACTCGAGTTGAAGATATTCCAATAGTAGAAAATTTATTTGTTCAAATAAACCAAGAAGAAATGAATAAATTAAAAAAGGTATTTGAAATGAGTGAGACTTGTATTATGGTGAATATTCAAAGAATTAGTCTTGATATAGAAACAAAAGAACTTGTTGTATTAAATAAAATTACAGATTATATAACTAAATTTATCATAGAATGTTGTCAGAAAATGTCAGAACCTATTAAACAAGAAAATGATATTCAACAAAGAGAAGAAAGAAGTATTATTGAAGAAGAAGATATTGTGTATGAAAAAGGATGTGATTTTGATAAAATGATCAAAATAATTCAAGAAAGGAATAAAGCAGTAAGAGATACATACATTTATTGTAATGTTGATTGTATTAAAATTACATTAAGAAATAACACAGAGTCAATGGAAATGAAAATGAATGGTATTGAAATGATTAATCCACAAAATATCTTTGGATTGGGACTAACTCTTACTTATTATCAAGTTGAAGAAATAGAAATTAAGATGAATTACATCCAACGAGGTTGGATAGATAAAATTGAAAAACAACAACAAACAATAATAATGAATGGTAGAAATAGTTATTTTACTTTTATTAATCATGAAATGACAAACACAGAATTTGAAGATGTTATTCATTGTTTCAAACAGAGAAATTCACAATGTATTTAATGAAGTAGAATGTAATGATATGTTATTAAGTAGAAATAGCAACAATGAATATCAAGAAGAAATAACTGAATTAAAAGTTATGAAAATTAAATAAGATAATAATTGAAATAAAATAACAAATGGTTATTATTTTTAATTTAATAACAATAAATAAAATGATTAAAATAATAATATTTTCATAAAACATCTTTGTTATATCATTTTAATTGTATAATATTTCAATGATTTTTTTATTGTTTTTTACAAATAAACACCATATCATTATAATGATATTATATGAATGTGATATAATGTCTAATATCAATGAATAATAATTATGTTGTCAATTCAATAGAATATGTAAATAACCAATAAGGAATATTGTTTGTTCATTTAATAGACTCTCAGAACTATTATTTGTTATTAAAATAGAATTTAAATGAAAATATGTGATAAACAAAATATACTATTGTTCAATAATTCATAAGAATTAATTTATTTTTTCTATTTTTCTGTTATTTTTAACATTGATGTGATAAATATAATGAAATACAAAACAACTACCAAGATGAAATAAATGACATTTAAATGATAGAATAGAAAGATAAATAGAAATGAATAAATTGATAGAAAGTCTGTATAATTTGAAATATCAAATAGAATTAAAACATAGAATAATTAAAATGAAAAGAATAAAAGAATGGATTATATAATTTCTGAATATCTACAAATAACTTATTAATTCTTATTTGATTAAGGTGTTGTTAAAATATGAAAATAAAAATGATGTTCACTTTATTTTTATTCATTGTTTATCACTCAATTTATTCTTCTTTTTATTTTTAATCTAAAAACATAAAATGTTATTCAATTCTCTTAATTATTGTTCTTATCCATTGAATATTGCTGCATTAGTTGCTTCATTATCTGCTCCAACATATTCTGCATTTTCATTAGTTGTTGTAATGGCATTCTTCATAGCTGATGAAACAAGTTGATAAGTCTTAAACAATCCAATAGAAACGACAATTAATGCAACTACAACTGCAACTATAACAGCAGCCACAGTAGTTGCCGCTGCAATAGCTCCAACATTATTAATTTCTCCTGCGAGAATACACTCGGTGTGATTATTAAGTTGTTGTGTTCTATCTGTTTGATTCCAAACACGACAATTACCACATGCATCAAGATCATAATATTCTTTATCTGTTTCTCCATACATAGTAAGAACTGATGAACCGTCAAGATATGAACATTGACAATAGAAACATCTTCCTTGATTTGGTGTGATTGTTGGGAATTCTTCTGAAACAGTACATGTTTTCTTTGTGTAAATAGTTTCTCCAGTTGTTTGATTACATGTTGCTGTTTCGCATGGATTTCTTGGTTTTGGATTAGCATTTGATCGTTCTGTATCAATTTCCCATTTATGTGTGATTTTTCCATCACTTCCTTTACTCTCAACACATTTATATTTCAAACATGCATTGTTAAGTTCAACTCCTGATTTAGTTCTAAAATGTTCACTATCTAATGATGGATCATCAGTAAGTTGTACAAATTTACAAAGATATGTAGTACCATCACATTCTCCTGTCATTGCTTTACATCCATAATCTACTTCTGTGTTTTGATTACATTTTTCTACATCAGTAATAATTGGACAACTATTATCATTTTGACAAACAGTACTTGCACATTCTACTTGCTCAATTCCTTCTTTTCCTTCAATGAATGCTTTACGTGCATCTTCTATTCTCTTATTGTTAGTGTCACATGTTGTTTTTGTAGTATTTTTACATGTTGTTGTTTTTATTCCATCTTTTTCTGTAATAACAATCTCTTGAATCTTACATTCAATAGGTTGACAATCAAAGTTAGGATCAATAATGCAATTGTTATTCTTACATTTGAATGGAACTCCTCCATTCTTAGTCTCTTCTGCACACAAATCAACTTCTTGGACTTTTTCTCTAGTTTCAATTAATGAACATGTTTTACATTCTCTTGTTGTTATTTCGTATGTACAATATGCTTCTTTGTCTGCCTCTTTCATAAATTCTTCACTTTGTGGTAAGTGAAGTTTATAACTAGTTAAATTGAATAATGAACTGTAATGATAGGTAGCTGTAACATATGCTTGACATGGTAAATAGAAGTTATAAATAGATTTAAAGTTATCATCATTACCTAAACAATCAACATAGGTTCTTGGAATGCATTGTTCATTGACACAATCTTTTGGAATGGTGTATTTATATTCTTTTCCATTTTCTAAAGTGACTTTACGTTCTAATTTTTGATCTTTGCATTTCTCTACAAATTTACCACTTTCACATACTGAACATGCTGGTGTTGGTTGAACAGTTGCTTTACATGTTCCTGTTTTTGAGTCATATGTATATGTTCTGTATGTAGTATCAGCTGGACATGTTAAACTAGAACATTTTGCACAAATATCATTATCTGATTTAGAAGATGCATCTTTTTCAAATACACAAGAATAAGATTTATCTTTCGCTTGTACACACTTACCATTAAAGTTTCCACATTGTGATTTACGTGAATTACAATCATCATGATATGTAATAATATTATCTGTTCCCATTGAACAATATCCACATCCTACATTAGAAACATCACCAACTGCTTGAACAACACATTTTCCATTCAAACATGTAGTTGAATAATATTGTTTACACATATTTTCAGATTTACCATCTTGAGCGAATTTAACTTCAGTTTTAGAACAATCAACATTCTCCCAATATGTTGTTTTACTTGTTTCATTACATCTCTTAATAAGACATCCATCTCTAACAAGATCTTCTGTACAATTAGACACTTTACACTTTGGTGTTGTTCCTGTATAATCACAAATTTGATGTTTATTAGAGTCACAATAATTACCGTTTTGTACTTGAGTACATTGACATTGGTTATTAGTTGTAGAATCACATTTACATACTGATCCTGTAGAATCTCCACCACATGATGAGTATGTATCACATGATAATCTGTTCTCACACATACCTGTATTGAGATTACACTTGGCTACATAACATGACATTTCAATGTATGGTGATGTTTTTACACATACTTTATCTCTAACACTACATCTTTGTTTTTCATCACAAACATATTCTTGACAGTTATTTGTCTTTCCTGTACACATATTTTCACCACGTTTATCTTTCTTACAAAAACCAGTAGTTTGGTCACATGTATAACTCCAACAATATCCATCAGAACTTGGTTTTTGATCTGCTTCACAATTAGCTTTTTGTTTACATACTTCAGTTAGATTCTTATCATTATCACAATATGGTACCATGCATTTCACTTTTGGTTCACAAGATGTATTATATTGTTTAACAACACAACCTTCAAGATCTCTACATTCATATGAGCCTACACATGTTGCTGGACATTCTTTCTTTGCTTTTGGTTTAGCTTTAGGCCATGGAATACATGATCCTGTTTCTACATCACAGGATGTATAGAAACAATCATTCTCACAACACATTGGACATGTGCATCTATTCATTGCATCACAAAATCCTGAACATTTATCTCTATCACATCTTTCTGTTAAATTGGCTCTAATTCCTTTGAAAAGTGCAGTGATTGTTGCATTAACTTCATCATTACCTGTAAATTCATGATAATGTGGTCCAAGTGAAACAAGTCTCAATGCACTACGTGTAATCTTTGGGTCTTTATTTCTATTAAGAACAACAGTATGAACTGAAATATTCTTTCTATCAAATTCTGTTTCTGCATTAAATTCTGATCCAAGTGCAGTATCCATTAACACAATCATAGTTCCTCTTTTGATTTTATCATTTGCATTTTTATCTTTACTTTTATCTGCAACTTTAGTAGCTAAATCTTTCTTAGCAATATTAATAAGTGGATCAACTTGTCCTGTTCCTGCTGTGTATTTGACAAGTGTATCATATTTTAATTGATCTAAAGTAATATTAACTGTAAAATAAGTATCATCTTTAAGATAGTAGAGTGTTACTCCTTTGACTGTTTTTAGTTGACTTAAAAGAGATAAATTCTCTTGAAGTGATTTAATGACTGTAGAATCAGTAATACCAAAGATTATTGCAAGATGTGTATTAACATTATTCTTGTAAACATCAAGAAGACATTTTGATGTAGTGTTTGTATTATATTGATCAATAAATGCTTTATTCTCTGTGTTAAATGATCTGAATGTAATTGATCTTCCTCCAATGAAATCCATTCTACAAACATCATATGCTTCAGTTTTTGTTGCATATGTCATTTTTGTATTTAAATAAACATAAGCCAATGGTCTTTTAGCTGCATATTTAAAACAAGTTTTTCCATTAATATCTACACTTTCAATTCGTTGTTCATCAACTGGAACATTGTCCCAATCAACTTCATATTTTTCAATTGGATATGCATATTCTTTTTGACAAAAATCTTGTTTAATATTTGTTTTATTAATATCTTCAACCTTTACATTATGATCTTCATTGATAGTATATTTATAACATTCTGTATTATCATTTTTATCGCATGTAGTCCATACAAAATGTCTCCATGGTTGCATAGCTAAATAATAGAAAACATCATATTGGTGAGTGTAAGAATGATACCATGAACCTGCATTCTTTCCACGAGACATAATACCAAGGTCATAATAGTCAATATCTGCTGAAAATTCATTAAGTTTATCTGCAAGACAACATAATAATAAGATATTTAATAATAATAATTTCATATCTTTGTCTTTCTAGTTCATTGTCTTGTTTAAATTCACTTGCCTTTCCTATTATTCAGAATTTGTCCTTTCCTTCTTTTATTTTCAATAGAATATATCTTTTTTGAACAGAAATTTATCAAGTAAAACAATAAGAGGATAGTATAAAATAAAACCAAGAATAAATTCATTTCATTTTTCCATTCATTTTTATAACAATTCACTTTTCTAGTTTTTTGTTTATTCTTTCTTTCATTATTTATTTATTCTTGTTTCCATTATTACTATTCTTTACTTTGAATTATTTCTTGTCATTAATCATTTTCAGATACAATCTCATCATTATTTCCTTCATTTACTTTTAGTTTCTTTTCAGCAATCTTTTCATGTTATTTCATCGTTCATTCTTTAAATAAAAATGTTTTATTGTATTATTTTATTTTCTGTTATTATAAACAATATTACTATAAATATATGACACTTATAATATCATTATCTTTATGTATTTTCTATTTCATCATTTATTCTTGTTATTAACTCTTTTATTTCTCTGTTATTTCATTTCTTTTATTTATTCATAAACTAATTTTTCATTCAAAATATAATCAATTTTATTCATATTTTCATTATTACTTTGACTATTATTACAATAACTACAATTATTCATTTGGTAAATACTTTTAATTTATTACTTTAATTCCCAATTTCCATTCTTTTCTTTCTTCATTCTATCAATCTATCAAATTTATTCATTCTGACTTTTTTGTAAATGTATGTTAACGTTAATTCATTTACAATATAATACTTGTAGCATAAAACACGTCTATTGTTAATATAATAGAAATAATTGTTTTAGAAATATTTTTAATTGCCAATTATTGTTTTAATAAGAATATTAATAGTAGTTGAATTGTAATTTCATAAACATCGTTGAACTAATTTTAATACCTGTTTGTGAATTTCAAATTCTTCATCAATTAATATTTGAATGATATATATTTTCTTTGTTTTTTTTTTGTTTAAGTATTACTTAAAATAATTATCTCAACTTTCAACCATCAAATAACAGTATAATTATTATTTATTATCATGTATTTGAACATAAATTGTTTTAATTGATTCAACTGTTTTGAAATTAAGTTAGTATATTCTTTATTAACAATAACATGCCTATTATTGATAATACAACAATACATCATTTGAAAATACACATTATTTTCATTTTATTTAAATTCTTTGAAAAAAGAAATAATAGTGAAACATTCTTATTTGAATTATATGTAGAAAATACTTCAATTTTATTATTTTTTGTTGAGTTATTATTTTCATTATATAAATTCATGTTATTAACATTACATTTAACAATATCACATTAACACAATTATTTCAAATTGTTTTATTTTTGTTGTATTTATGAAATTTATTATTATTGCACTAATTAGACACTATCACTTTAACACCAATTTAATTAATAGTTATTTGCTATTCTCTTTTAACTATTTGAAATTTCTTTAATGAACTTAGAGTACTAGTTATATACAACTTATCTGTAATTTTCATTTTGTATTGAATAATACATCACCATTCATTAAATTATAATTGCCATTATTTTAAATGAATGTATTGAAGTTAACTAACACTTATATCATAAATGTCTTATCTTATAATAAATATATATTCTTCTTAACAAACATGTTAATACTCATTTTCTATCATTGAATGAATTATTAATAATGTTTTTAATAACCAATTCGATAATTTTGTATCAAATTTTATGTCTTATTATTTATTTTCATCAATATCCATTTTTATATCATTCATTCGTATGTCTGTATTCTTTTATGATGTTTCAATATGCACATATTTTAACTCGTGTTTTATTATTAATAATACTACAAGTTCATTTTCATTACTAGTTAGTTTTTCGATATTCCTGTTATTATACTTAAAATATGTTTCTGATTGATTGGTTTATCTTTAATTAAATCAATTTCTTTAAAATAATAAGAATAGATGGTTTAGTGTTTGTAGTATTAGAATGTACTTTTACATACTCTTTACTATATCTAATAGATTTCATTCTATTTCTTTTATCTTTAATAGTTGATGATAATTTTACAATCGTTTGACATTCACATTTTATGTTAATTATTTCTTCAAATAAAAACGAATGAATATGAAAAGTATTTATCATAATAGTTTCATTAATAATATATACGTCATTCTACATTTTCTCAATTGTAGTAATTAATTGATTAATCCGACTGTATTATGAATGAATAATTTTTGTATTAGAAATTATATAACACTTGAAAATATCATTATTAATTTGAATGTTTTTTTTGTTTATTCACGTTAATTTAAATAAGAGTGTTGTTAATGATGTTGATATATTTGTTTTAATTTAAATTCAATGAATATCAAATGGTATTAATGTATTGTAATAAATTCAAAGAATTAAAAGTTGTTGTAAACTATATTTACGTCTTATTCTCTTCTTTTTCATTTCTCATCTCTTCATATTTTATTATAAACTCTTTTAACTAAAATGAGTATCATTTTAAATAATATGTACTAAAATAAAACCAGTATAATGAATGAGAATGATAATATGGAATTATGGAATAGAGTTATAAAGTAATTTAATTTGTGAGAATATAAGAATAATGGTTTAACTAAAGTATTTTTATCAAATAATACAAAATTCAAAATTGAAGAAAAATGACAAAATGAAATTATTATGAAATTAAAACAAGAAACAACAACTGAATATAGTTTACTGATACTTCTTTCATCATACTGAGAAATATATGAAATGTTTCATTCAACGTTATTTATTTCATTTGAATTAAAGCTCTTTCATCTATTCCCAAATTAAATAATTCATCATTCAACTGATTGTTTGAGTTTTATTGTAAACAATGAATTTTGTCATTGTTTACATCATTGTTTTAAGATTAGAATATTCATAACACTATTCCATGGTTTATTTTCATTTAGCTTCAATAACCACTGATGAACCTGTTTTACTGTTAATAATATCTGATATACTCAATGTTAAAATTTCATTCTTAAATAACATTCTTTAATAAATACTTAATCCAAATATTAATAAACAATAGCAAACACAAACATTTGAAGTCTTGAATATGATATTATCCGTTTTTCATAAAGTTAGTGTTTTGACAAATTGACACAAGTGTTTTGATAATTGATGTTATTTTAATGTTTGTGTGTGTGGGTTTTCTAACGTATTACATTCAAACTTGAAAACAATTAATGTGATTATTCCCAATTTGATTTTATAAATAATGGGAAATGATTGTTTCAATAGATCCTATATTTTCAATTCTGTTATAAAGTTAATTTCAAACGTATAAGCATTATAGTATTTTTTCTTGTATTTAATTTATGAGTTGTTTTGTAAAACAATATATATTTCAATAATATATATAGTTGATTATAATATCATATTTAACTTAATTGTAACTTTAATACTTATAAAATTCATATTAAATTTATTGCGTATAAAATTAATAATGATATTACATGAAATATTTCATTATAATGTTATTTTTCTATTTTATTTCAATTTCATTTGTAATTCATTTATTTTCATTTACTTTAATTTCATCATATTTTCATTTAACTGAATTACATTCATTATTTCTATCATTTTATTTATTTCTTATTTTATTTTGATATTTATTGTTTATTTCTATTTGAACTATTAAAATACATAAGAAGATGAAAAAAAAAATGAATTAATGAATGAAATAATTTATATCATGTGGTTGTTATAATAATAAAAATAATGTTTATTTTCATTCATTCTTCTATTATTTATATTTCTTATTGATATGAATTTCTCATTCTTTTATTTTTTGTTTTTTTTTTATTTTTATGATGATGTTTCTTTTCTTGTTAATTCCATTTTTTTAAACATAAAAAACAAAAAAAGTAGATTAAAAATTTTAGTCTTCTTTTTTGAGTAATGTTGAATCTTTTTGTTGTTGTAATTCTTCTTTCTTAATTTTTTCTTGTGTTAAATGAGGAGGATAATAAGTTAACCACAAATAAAGTATTAATGGAATAAGATAACCAAGGAAATATGTTCTATAAACTACAATAAGTGAAGGAATTAATTCAAATCTCATGAAAGGATAAACTGCATAATTTAAATGCCAATGATTAAATATTCTTAATAAAATATCATATACATTCCATACAATACTTCCTTCTCCAAATTTCATTCTCATATATGGATCAAGTCGTTTATAAATTAAATTTGATAAATCTTTATCAAATCCTAAAACAAAAAATGACATATAATATCCTGGATATACTCCATGCCAAAATGCACAAACTGCCATAGTTAAACTTGTTTTATATCTTTCTAATGGTGTTCCAATCATAGAGACATAAACATAATTCTTTAACCATTTTTGAACATAAGTATTCCAAAGATCCATATTTACTTTACATGACCTACATACTTCAAATTCTATAATACTAACATTTCTATATAATAAAAATTCATCTTTTCCTTCTTTTGTTGTTCCAGTATAACCACATCCTGAAATTTCTCCTAAGTGATTCAGTCAATTTCCATGTTCCATAATATTTTAATCGAATTGTAGAAACTGTCCACCAAATGGTTAATAATTTCC